ATTAAAAAATAACGTAATAATTTTGTAAATATTCTTTTATACATTCTTTTATATATTCTTTTATATGTTCGTTCTTTTCATGTTTTACTAATTGACTTTTATTTCACGGCAATGACTTAACACAGTATATTTTCACGTATATTTCCAGTAATAAAACTGGAATGCGTTATCGAGTGATTTAAACGATTTCCGCACACCGCCAGAAATATTTGAGCGTGGATTTATAGAAAGATTTATTTAATTTTTTCCCGCTTGCGACGTAATCTACGTGAAAGAAGCTCGGCGACGATGGCGCTGTTCGTCTCCATCTTGGACATTCGCCGCAATTAAGAATCATTTTATCATCGTTGTCTGAGAAGGCTAAAATGTCCTTGGGAAAATACATTTTTTCCGAATGAAAACACAACAGGCATGATTTTCAGGAACAATAGGACGGAAAACTGACGAGACAATTGCATTTTAGCTGCAGCATCGTTTGATACGTCATTTCGCGGTAAATTAATTTTCTGCTTTTATTTATCCGCTGGCAAATAAAATAGTGAAGAAAAGTAGCGAATTATTACGCAGTTATTTGGATAATATAAAGTGCGCGCTCGTAAAACTTAAATGAAAATTAATTCGAAGCAAGCGTAGACACAGAATTTTATTACAGTTCCAAGTCAGTTTTACTTTAACAGAATTTTAATACGAAGATGGCGTTTAATTTTTTAAAGTTGCAAAGCTGCGAAAGAAGGAGAATTGACGATCCAATTAGATTTTTGCTGCTGAAAAATTATTTCAAAACTTAAATAAAAAATACTTTTCATGCAAAATCCACAAAAAAAATTTGACAATTAAAACTTTTATCTGATACCTACTGTATTTAATATTGAATTGGAAAATTATGAAAAGAAAAATGGTTTATAAAATTTTCGATAAAGAAAAATTACATAAAAATCAATTTCCAAAATATATCCGCTATATTTTGCATAATAAATATTGTAATTTCGGCGGGACCATCTTCTGATTAATCGAAGAAAATTATAAATATTTCTTTGTCGAGTGAAAGAATAAAATTGAATAAGTCATTTTGAAGGGCTTGAAGAGTTCCATGAGAAAATGGGTTAGGAGGGAAGGTAGTGAAAGGAAGAAGGTCTGGAAAAAAAGGAGAAATGCGTTGCCGCAGCGGCGACGCCGTCTGCAATTACAATGCCTTAATTTTATGCGCAAAGTTAAGTTCCTTTTAAGAGTCCCGAGAGTGGTTAAGTCCCTCTTACGACTCATCTCCCTTCTATTCTACGCTACATTCGTTTTTTCCGTATTCATGAAAGATATTCTTTTAGACTGACCATGTCGGCGCAGCTTCCGAACTGGACAATTATTTTAATTTGTTTAGAGACCATCTGCCACCTCTTTTTTATTCCATTTTTTTCTATTTGTCTCTCTATTTTTTATTTGTCTTCCCTTTCTGTTTTTTTATACTCGATTTTTTAACTATTTGTTCTCATTTACGCATTTAAAGCTTTTAATCTGGCGTGCTTGTCACGGAAATTACATTAATAATATTAAAACTAAAAATATATATTCAAATGAATATTAATATTGTAATATATTAACATAAAAATATTATTTTATGAAAGATAAAAATTTTTTAATAGAAAGAGATAATCATTTTAATTAGTTCGCCCTCAAAATGACTCAAATATTCTCTAAAAAATTTCTGCAAATTTTAAATAATTATAAAAAATGTAAATATTTTTATAAAGCGAAGCTATTAATAAAGAAAGAATTAATATTAAAATTTTCGTGTTTAAATTGAAAATATCTGTTTTTATTCTAAAAATTAAATAAAAAATATTTTAATATATTTTTTATTTAATTTAGATATTTATATAGATATAATTTATGTCATGCGTGTGCAGATCTCGAAACACAATTTAATGTAGACTGATTTTTCTGAATGATTAGGGAAAAGGGATGGAGGACGTTTTTATATTCGCTTCTAAAAATAATTAATCTCTCTTGTGACTCTCGTGCAATAAAAGCGCACTACTGTACGGAGAAAAGTTTTATCAACGCGCAATGGATTGCAATCAGACAAAATTAATAATACAGTTTCAGCAATACGGACATGGAACATGCCATGGAAAAATTTCAGTCGATGTGCATAGCAGTATTTATGCGATTGTGATGTGCTTTATATTGCATGCAGTTTGCTACGGCGATAATGAATAGCTGACAGTATTAATTAAAACTTCACTGAATGATAATCACTTGAAAAATGTCTGTAACATGAAATGCGACAAATTTCCGAATATTATAATTGTAATTATTTTCGTATTATATTATGTTAATCAGCAAAATTTTCCCGACATATTCATTTATATTATCGGTGTAAAAAATATATTTTCCGTATATATTTATAATGGATACAATTTGCATGCAACAATTTCACGTAGATTATACGATTTTTCCTTAACTTTTCATTTAATACAACAACTATTAATAAAATGGATATTATTTTCATAAAATGTTGTGTTTTATATTTCGTTCTCCGTATAATTTTATCTCTTTAAATGTATAATTCCCCATAATTTTATCTCTGCGTTATACATAAAAATGTGCATATTTATATTTTTCTATATATTTTATGCATTGATAAAATAATGAAATAAAATATTTCAAGTTGAATAAAAGCTAGCTATTTTATTAATGCAATTATAAATTGTTATTATCGAATAAAATGTGAATTTATAAATTTTCATATATATAATAATATTTTTAACATAATAAATTTTGAAATAATAATAATAATTATTATTATTATTTTATATATATATATATATATATATATATATATATATATATACACACAAAAAATACAACTCTCTTTTGCAAGAATAATATCATAACAAAGAGTTAAATGTGTTATAACGCGTTCTCTATTCAGAGCGGAATGATTCAATACTATAACTATACGCAGTGCCGCGCTTTTCAGCGTCGTTTCGCCAACAGCATTTGCCCTCACGCTTAATTATCCGCACGACACAACGTGGCCGACTTTCGCAAATAAAATTTTCCACGAGGGATTTACTCGCCCGGCCTCGGAGGGAACAGCCGTCCGTCCCAATTAGACCTTTTTACTGTCGACGTGTGTTCACGGACCCCTTAAATTTCACGTAGACCGCGTAAATCACGGAGAGAGAGAGAGAGAGAGAAAGAGACTCGACAAGCGGGTTGATACCGCAGCATTGCGTCGGTGCCGGTGAATTTGAGCAGGTTGACGAATCATTGCGCTCATTAAAAACCGATCCAATTTGTCCCGGCAACCGCGACAACGAGGATGAGTCGGATGAGAGCAAACTCTCGGAGATGCGAAACTTGGAAGCGTCCTCTCGACTCAGGAACGATTGACGAACGTCTTATCGCGCTAACTTGGCCGTCATTCCGTTCCTCGATTAGACTTACGAACTTACATTCGAGCGCACTCGGTCCGGGCCAATGATAATTGATGACGGGTACGGGATGAAGGATACAACATCTGTGTCACAGTTGATATTTGTGTAACGAGGAGAATTGAGAATATCTTTAAGATATATTAAGGAATAAAGACAATTTTACGTTTGTATGTTTTAAGTGGAATCTAATTTCCTTGCGCTCAAAGGTATTATGACAGATCAATAATAACATTTTCAAGCGCAAAGAAATTTTATACAAAAAACTTATAAAATGTGTGAAATAAAAAACATATATAAAAGTTATAATAAAAATGTAAAATAACCAAAAATATATATAACAAAAAACCTACAGCAGAAAGAAAACAAGATTGAGACGTGGGATAGATAAATTGGACATGAAGATAAATTGGATGATTATCATTATTATAAGCTCTCCGGTAAATTACGACGTCGTAACATTGTATAATGCGAACGATATAATACGTATCGGCCTTTTCTTTTAGCAAGACCTGAAACTACCTCGACGGAGAAAGCCCCGACCTGAGAAGTAAAAGGTTATCTGACTCTCTCGGTCGAGTGCACTTCTCCTGGCCTGTATTGGGTCTTCCGAGCTCGAGCGACTTTGAGAGGGATGGGCGACAATCGCCTCCACCCTCGCCTCCCACGGCTCCTCGACTATGACGAATTGCAAAAGTTGGGTGAAAAATTGGCCGAAGCCAGATAAGAGCGGCCCGAGTGTATTGTGCGTCGTACTTTGGTCGTCGGCCATTCGTTCCTCCGGTTACTTTCATCCCTCTGGCCGACTTAACCCGCATTATTTAGCCCATCCCCATCCCCCATTCCGTTCATTCACTCTCCTCCGGCCCGCGCAAGGAGAGACTTTAAAATAACTCGTCTGTTATTCCGGAGGGAAAAGTTTTCGTCTGGCTGACAAATGCGAATCGTGCGACGGACGGCAGTCGCGAGCTACGCGACTTGGTGCCGCGATTTGCGACACGTGAAACCGCGCTATTTAACTCCGCGAGCGGACATATTTCGCGGCGGTAATCCCGTGATTTGTATGCGCGGTCCGAGGACGCTCCTCGAGGCTGAGCCAGACGAAGTATATCAGTCGCAAACAGACTTCTCGCTGTAAATGCAGCGTACTCCGCGATAAGAACTCGCTTTGGAGTCTTTCGCCGTTACACATTAAATCAGCAACGTAAATCTTTTGTAATGTTTTGCTTGAAGAGTTGACGCTTTATGCGCCCCGAATACATCATCCTTTTCTTTCAACTTATTTATTTATATTATTATACATATTTATATATTATATTTATATTTCTTTATCATTATTTATGTTTATTTGTATTATATTATTTTTTATTTAAATTTGTTTATTTACATTTAAAAAAATTTTTATATTTTCTTATAATTTAGTTTTGATTCAGGAATTTTTTAATAAAGTAATTTTTAAAGAAATTTTGGGACTGTTATCGAGTGATAAGCTAAATATAAGTTGAATATTATGCAATTTATTTTCTCGAATTATATTTCAATGATGCATCTTTGTGATTGTTGCAGTTACGATGCGAGAAGTCGACAGTTTGGGAAAGCGAAGTTATGGAGCGCAGCTCATTTTTGGGGCCATCGGGCGTCTTTTCGTGCGAACCCACCGGCGCAGTTGACAGTTCAGGATCTTCGGCAGAGTGACGAGGGTGTTTACAGGTGCAGAGTCGACTTCCGGAACTCGCCGACAAGAAACTTGAAAGTTAACCTCACCGTTATCGGTAAGTAAACTATCGTCCTTAATCGACAGATTTCTCGTTAAACTAACGTTCACCCGAAAATGTCGCTTATATCGAAAGCGAATTATTCGATTTTATCATGCTACATGTATATTTTTACCACTTGTCACCAGTCTATTAATCTCGAAATTTTAACCATTAAATTCCAGAGCTATATTCTGTGTACACTCTTATGATCTTTAGAGTAGAGACTGTAAAAAATCTTTTAAATCGTAATCCACAGTCATACATATTTAAAATATTGAAATGCGCAGTCGCGTAGTTTACACAATTCTGTTTGCATTCATAATTGCTATTACAGATATAGAGCGGACGAGAAGTACGTATAGCAACTTTTCCATAGTTATTTGCATTTCCAGAAATTGACCTGGTCGTTTTCACGAGAAAACTTACATTAGATTTTTCGTGCGGAACTAATTCGAGACTCGTTAAACTTTTATAAAATTATGCTCGAATTATCCTTTTTGCGCGATTTACTATTTATTTTCTGCATGCGTTTCCTCTTTCTAGTCTCACAAAACGATTCGCTTATTAAAAATTAATTTTGTCTTGCAAATTGCCTTGATAATTATGCTTATATTGGATATAATCAAAAAATATTTTAATAGAAACGTTAGATACACATTTATTATTAAATTAAAACAAAATTTATGAAAATTTTGATATTGAGAAAAAGATTACGATACAAGAATTGCATCTTGAACCAGCAGAAATTTATAATTGATATTTGGAATAATACATAAAGTAATAATTATAGTGACAATCGCAGTTGACAGTTGTTTGCGGAATAATCAGCTGCAGTAGTATCGCGACTATTAGAAACTACGAATGGAATAACTTTTTTTAACAACGTAATGAATCTCAAAATACTTTCGATCTGGCAGTTTTCATACGGTGTGAGATAAAACATTGATCTTTTCATGGAAAACTAGTTTGAAACTCGTTAAATACAAATAGAGGAGAAACGAAGTTTCTATTCCGCATCGATCATTTTCCAAATACACTTTTCAAACAAGTCCTCTTTACGAAGATGTAATCGTCGATATTCGAAGATACGTTGACACACACTCGCGATTGCAGTTTACAACTGTTTGTAATAGAACAGTCAATCGTGATAGCATCGCAATTATTGGAGATCATAGGAAACCTGCGAATAGACACACTTTTCTCTTTCTTTCTTGTTTTCTTTCTCTCTCTCTCTCTCTCTCTCTTTCTCTTTCATCACAATATAAATCTGGAGATCTGAACTCATCGGCCAGCCTCGTTTTTCGAGAGCGGAAACTTGGGCTTTTCGCGCGGGATCTAGTTCGAGGCTCGTTAAACTTTCACAAAATTGCGTCCGACCGAGGAAACTCGACGAAACTGGCCGCCGATACTCGATGTCGATCGTCGCTGCGATTGGACGAGTCGGTCCCAAGAATGGCCGTTAATCCGAAATCGAGCGACCACTCGTACAATCAGCCGACCATTGAAAGCAATCCTCTGTAAACGATCGTGCTGAGAGCACGAGTCGATTGGCTGGTTTGTCTGTAGTTTGATTCGCTCTTCCGTCGACGCGCGGCTGTTAAATCGTCGACTCGAATCTTCCTCGGGCAACTCGTAGATTATTTGCAATGTCATGGACTCAAGAACTTCATGTTTGCTTACAACGCGTCATAAGGAACGCATAATCCTGCAGCCTTTATAGGAAAGATATGTACAAAACGGGAGAAGTATAAAAATAAAACACGCACACATACATGATTGCGACTATCGCGTGTAACAAATTTATTTGATTGAATATTTGTTTTAAAATGATCTGTTTTGTTTACTCGAAAACACCCCAAAATAAATTTTTCGTTTATTAGATAAATAGTTAATGCTTTTAAGATAATCAGCAGTAGATCTCATTTAGAATAAATTTCAATTTAATTACGATATCAATTGTTATTTACGAAGAAATTTACATTCCGGAGCAAAATATGTTTTTTGCATGCAAACGAATAAAGCTGTTTTCCCTTTATTTGTTTTAGTTTCGCCGGAACAAAATTTTTATTTAAATAATCCTGGATTGCGTGTATAATGCATCGAATCTATTATAAAATGGAAATATGAGCACACAAAATTTGTTATTGATTATATGCTTATATTAATTTCTATCGGAATATTTATTTTTTAATATGTACCATGTGATATTGAGATACAACGATTAACATAATTTTAATTAAAAAGGTTTTCAATTTCCAGGATATTAATCGCGACGACTGTTTTTTGTCTCATATTTGCTTTTTGTAATGAAAAGCAAAATAAATTTCCAATTATAATGAGATTTTTTGCACAGTTAAAATAACAACGCGTTGCAATGTTATTTCACTTCGTGTAAAATAATCGCTATCGCGTTTATAACGCGACTAACTTGACGAAACTGATATTACAATGCAGTAATTAATGCTTGATGTCAAATCGATATGAGATACGCGTCAACCTGTACAGAAAGTTCAATTTCCACTTTATAGAAAGGTACGCAACAGCGTTTCCCATTTCCATAATGTTGAATAATATTATCCGATGTAGAGGGGAAATCAAATGTAATTACGCACGTATGCTTATGCATAAACGCTCTGAAAATATTAAAAATATTTCGATACAGAAACTTGGGAATAAATAGGATATTAATGTTTAAATAGTCGTAGGAATCAATACATGTGGAATGGACGTGATGAATATATTCATCCTATTTTATGCAACGTCAAACTTTTCAATAATTTTACAAATATTTTGAACAAAGCTTAATTATAAGCGAGCAATTAAAGCGAGTCTGACAATTCAGAGAGAAATATAAATTATCGTGTAATCTCCTTCCCTTTTTGCGCGAGCTCGCGAAACTTTTTAGTTGCGACGATGGCGACATATTTTGTTCTTCTGCGAGTCTGCTAACTCCGGTAAGTGATTTATAACTTTGTGTCCCACTTCGATAGCAGCTTCGATCGTCAGCGATGCATATCCGCCGCGTTGATTTTGTAATGCAGTAAAATCGGAAGTTCGAAAGTCGGTTTCTGAGAAGCGCCGAAAGTCCACGATGGGTTCGTCGCTCTTGTCTCTTAATAGAATCGAAGCAATACCTTGTTGGTTTCCAAGGAAGAGCTCTTCATGTCGTGAAGATGAGAAGCTTTCACGAAGTCTCTAACCCAATTTGACTATCGATCGATCGTTAAATTGACTTAATATATGGGACGTTGATTAGAGATGTTCTGTTCAGATGAGAACCGAGAATTTTCCGATTTTAGATTTTTTGTTTAATTTGTGGCAGGTATAAAAATGTGGATAATAAAACTGTACAACAATGAGAGAAATAATCATCAGATGGTTCCATTCAGTGATTACAAAAAAGCATAAAGATTAAATGATAATTTGTTGATATGTATCAGATGTTTTATTAAATGGAATTTCTGGATATCAGATAATAAAAGCCCTGTAACGTTAATATAAAAGCAGCATAGGATTCAATATAAAAAAATGATAACGATTTTTAAATGTCTAAATTGTTTTCATTTATATAGTCTGTTAGTATTTCTCTTTTGTGAAATTTTTCACAATTTTTAGCTAAAATAATAATAAAGTAAATTGGATATTAATTGGATCATTTCGACAATATGTATTTGTGAAATTGATTAAGTTGAAGGGAACATCTCGTATGTAAAAAATCACTTATCGGTCACATCAATTAATCACATACATTTAGCTTCACTTCAAATCATTTTTCAAAATATGTGTGTAATCGATTTGTCTTCATCTTTTTAATCGATCTCGTCGCATCTACAAATTGTTCTCATCTATTTGGACATTAGAGGCAGGTAAATTCGCAAAGTTCAGTTTCCAATCGAGGAAGAGATTAATCGATCAGTTGGAAGCGTATTACGCTGAGAAAGATTAACCCAGTTTGCCGAATAAATGCGTAGGAAATGCGCAGACTGTGTCAAAGCCAAGCCAAATTTCAAAGCCGATCGGCGCTGTTTTCTTTTAATCAGAACTCGGTCGAGCGTCGCGGAATCCGTCCGAGCGGGTTGGATCGTCGCGCGTCGCTCGCTAACTTAAATAATCTGCTCTCGCGTTAGTGCCCGGATATCTCGGGCTTCTCGTCCCGGGCTTCTCGGGGGATGTCCGTACAGCGTGGGCGCGTGGAAAACGTAATCGAATAGGGATACATCTCGCAGGCGAAAGGCCATCGGCGTCGAAACGCCGCTGCCGCTTCGTTTTACGCCTCGATGCGTCGCTCCAGCTCGGGTTAATTTCGAGCCACATCTCGATATATGTGTAGGAACAAAGAGAGAGAGAGGGATGAGCACGAATATTGTGAGAGAATATGTGGAAGGAAGGAGGAAGCCCTCTGAGCTGAAGCTCCCCTATCGTAACTAAAATGACTCCTGACACAAATGTTCCCATTTTTTTCCCAATTATTTTCTCCCTCTTACATGTCTATTAATTATGATTATTTTCCTCGCTCGTTTAAATCATGTTTTTACGTATTCCTATCTCCTTGATCCCTTTTAAATGATCATCGTATCATTTCCGACATGCAGCAGTTTCAAATTACTTATTAAAAGAAGGATCTCTAAATTACAAGTGTAGACCACATCTTCTTATCCGATATTTCTTGAAGATGTCTCGCGTGTGATCTTCTTCATCACTTCCATTGCGCTTCCTCTTCGTCTTTCCCAATTTTCCTGCCTCGAAAAATGACTCCTGACACAAATGTTCCCATTTTTTTCCCAATTATTTTCTCCCTCGTCTTACATGTCTATTAATTACGATTATTTTCCTCGCTCGTTTAAACCATGTTTCTACGTATCGCTCCTAATTTCTATCTCCTTGATCCCTTTTAAATGATCATCGCATCAGTTCCGACATGCAGCAGTTTCAAATTAAATTACTTATTAAAAGAATCTCTAAATTACAAGCGTAGACCACATCTTCTTACCCGATATTTCTTGAAGGTGTCTCCC